CCCCCCCCCCTCCCCCCCCCCAATAGTATACAGTCTGTGACTCAGGACTGTAAGCTCACCGACAGGGGAGCAAACCCAACATGCGAGACATTAGACTACCAGAATCCCTTAACATCAGTCGTCCAACTTCCCTCTTCTAGATTGAGCTGCGCTGAGGAGGACCTTTTATAATCCCTATATCATCCCTATAAGTATATCATAATATAGTAGTTTCCATGTTCTTTTCCATTCCTTCATTACCAGCTAATCAAAGGCCAGTCTTTTGAAGAGCATCCCGGCCTTGGAGTCCTCGCCACTCCTGGCATTCTGGCATGGAGAGACAACTTGAAGTTACTTCAGCCGGAGATCAAAACCTACAACTATACCCAGCAGAGATCTTTGTTGATTTTGGGAGACTTCTCTCACGTCGAATGCACTATTCATGGAGTAGTTGTGACCTTGGCGGAGTAGTGGCAACCACCCACGAGTAGTCGCATAGCCTGCCACTACCAACATACCCAGAAACCTCGCGGGTGTTCGCGTTCCTGCCGGTGTTCTCGTCCTGTTCATAGGTGCCCTGAAGCCCCAGATGCTTGAGATTCCAACTTCCTCGAAAACACTTCGACCAAATGAATGAAAGCTCAACCCTCCCAACACAAGGACCCTATGAATATCATGCGACTGTTCATCCCGGGTTGCGCATCTTCTGTCCCAAGCTCTGGAAGCCTAAACCTCCTGCTCTCTAAATGACAAACCCACTTCACCCAACTTGTTAGCTCTTCTACGCCTGCCCCAAAGAAAGGGGAACCTTGCCTACCCCAAATTGTCATCATCCTGCAAATGGGGATCCAATTGGAAAAGTTCCCATGGTAGAAAAACACCTTTCTGGCATGCCTGAAGGCTTGCAGCGCATGCTCTAGGTCGGTCCAGGAGTTGTTCTGACCTCTGCCATGACTGCCAAGGAATTCTCAGATTCTCAGGGTATATGGCTTTCTCTCGAAATTATGGGCCCCCTTCTGGTTAAAGATTATATACATTACGGCACCTCAATAATATATTGGGGTACCAAAATAGGACCCTAATTTTGGAAGCTACCCATATGAGAGGGGGGATGTGTAAGGCAACGACGTGAGAAATGCGAACATATATGATTCAGGGTCGGGTCGGGATGGCGTACACATGATGGGGAGGGGGGAGATCATACCATGGCGTAGCAGCATAGACATTCCCTGAGCTTGTTCTGGGATCCTGCAAGGACCGTAAGTCTGGCATGGCATAATATGGTCAAAGTGATCAGCCCCTGATCGGGTAGCATAAGGGAAACTACCCAGGTGAGCTACATGCAGCCGCAATCGAGCCCATAAGGAAAAAGCTCCCAGCCAGACCTCCGACTCAAAAGTGCAGGTGCCCCGCATATGAGCATCATGCCAATCAGCCACTTGGAGTTTTGAGACTGCTGCAGTACGAGTTTGCAAATTTTAGCACAACAGCATTGCGGCAACATGCAAACACGGTAGCTCAGCACCAATACGATGTGAGTGCTACGTCAACATAGCTATGAATTTCGTTGCCGTGCAGGTGAATAGCAACGCAGCAGTACATGCATACACCGTAAGCCCAGCAGATCGCATCCCAATACTGAGCAACAAATCTAGTACAGTACAGTAGCAGGGTTTGAGCTAAAGCTCCGCTTCTCAGCTGTTGGCTCAAGGCTCCCTCAGCTTCATCGCTGAGAGATTCATCAGAGGTCAACTGTAAGAGGACCGCCTGAAGCATACAAGCGCATCTGTGTAGCAAAACTCATCGGGTGGTAGGTCCCACTGGAGATACAGGGGTCAATGTTCAGCCTGCTCAATTCAACCATCTATTCTTGCTTCACATGGAAAATGGCAGCTCTCTCTCTTCAGCCAGCGTGAGAGCTTCCAGCCTTCAAGAAGTAGACCGTGGCTAGCAGGGCCAGACTGATCAAAAGGACACGGATTAGCATGACCTGGCGATGTAGAAGCTGGAATGACCGGAAGAAAGCCAAGGCGCTCTACGGAAGTCTTTACGTGCAAATTGCAGAAAGGTGGAGAATCCGTGCTAAGTTCTGCTACACATGCGCGAGAACTGTAAACTGTATGCCTACCTACCTACCTACCTACCTACGTACGTACGTACGTACGTACATACGTACATACGTACATACGTACATACGTACATACGTGCATACATGCATGCCTACATGCATCATACAAGCATACAAGCATAAAAGCATACATGCATACAGGCATTCATATACATATATATGAATGTATGTATGTACACATATACGCATGGTTAAGACACTGGTTCAGCTGTGGCCTCGTTGTCGGCACCGGCTACTCCTGCTACTGCCTAGACCTCCGCCGCAACCCCACATGCCCCATGTTTCCAAAAGCAATTCCAACTGCGGGTGAGCATACATGAGCAAGCAAAGCATGGTGAGCTAACTGGCAGTCAAGCTTGGAAGGGCTTGGACTATCTCGTGACAATGGGTTTCCCTGAAAGATTCTATAGGAATTCGTCTTTATGAACCTCCGACGGTCACGTTCCCCTTGCTGGGCCATTTTTTGCCACTCGCAGCTGGGGGCAACCGTCGAGGCAAGTCGGCGGCGGCGGGCTTCGTGCTGCCAGGCCTTTTGCTTGCTGGTATTTGCTAGGGAACAAATGAATGGAAAAGAAAATGGAAACCACTGGAACATATTCTGAGGTTTTAAGGGGCTTCTGTAATCCTATCCTCTATGTATGCCCAACCAATCACAAGTAAGCCAGGCAAATGCTCTGATTTCTGTCGCGCAGTGTCAATGGGCAGCTGAAAACGTGATCGTCAAAGGCCAGTGCCCTGTCCAAGCTTCACGCAACGTGTCCTGGCAAGATCACTTCACTTACTGGTGGTTAGCAGGGAATAAGGGAATATAGGGAATATAACCCGTATGTAATCCCTGTATGACATATTCACTCATTCCCAACTAACTCCAGTGAGTTCATCTGGTAGGCGGGGAGCTGTAGTACGTCTGACACCGCAGCAGGCTGCCTGTGAAACCTCACTGCAAGAAGGCATAGATCTCATTCGAAGCGTCCGACCAGGTGGACGCCCTGGACCACATGAGCCCGGGACTGAAGTTCTAGTGTATTCCTGAAATAGGTCCCCCTAAAACCCTATATATTCCCCTATAGGTCCCCCCCAACCTTACTTCCCCTTCAAAACCAGACAGAGTCCGTGCTTGAAAATACGCAAATCCGTCAGATCCTTGCTAGTATCAGAGTATCAGACCTGCTCAACTACGAGATGTCCATTGTGCCTCTGATGGAAGATCCCAACTTAAGGTTTGGCAGTAGCACCGCCAAAGCAAGCCTCACCAGTCTCGACAACATCGGAGATGGTGCCAATCTTCAGCTCAAAGGAAACCTGCTTGGGATAAACATGAACTCTAGTCCACAAAGCAAAAAGACGATGTCAATTGAGCGGTGGGCAATTTGTGGAGGCCACGTAGGTTCAGTTTCGAGAGCTTACGCGGATTGCTTCCGCAAGCTTCCACGGATGGAAAGGTAGCTTCCGCGCAGCGTTTTTAAATCTCAACAGCTTCCACGAGCCTCCGCGAGCATGTGGCTGGGCTTCGTGTTGGTCCATCAAGTTAAACTCGAATTCTATCATGAACTGGTTCTCCTTGTGAAAAGCCAGACAGGTTTGGAGGGGTTGAAAATGAATCTCAGCCAAGGGGCCAAGTCTTCTCAGCATGTTCACATGTTGGTCGAAATCGCAGGAGTGGAGTTTTCCAACTGAAAACAGATTTCAGCAGTCTCAAAACAATTTTCAAACATTGTTGCCAACTCTTATCTGGTGGATCCAGACAATTTTCAAGGGGCTGAAAGTGAATCGCACCCCAAGGCTTACTTTTTCGGCGCTTTCCAACCGAAAACATATTTCGGTAGTCTAAGAACAATTTCCGAGCAGTCAGGTGGTACTAGAAGCATGGTTTTCAAGATATTTTCTGAAATATTTGTTGGAACGTGGGTTTGGATAGCTTTATTCGGTCTGAAAACCACGCTGGCATGGTTTCCAAGTCCCCAAACGCAATTTTGAAGGATCAACGAAAAGCCAAACCTTTTGCAAGAAAAGTGTCTCAGGCACCATGCGGAAGGGTCTTTGGATTAGTTTCATCAGTGAAAGGTTTCGGGGAGTCGAAAATGAATCGCACCGAATGCATATTTTTTTTGATCAAGTCCAACCGAAAACACATTTCAGCAGTCTCAAAGTACTTTTCAAGCAGTCAGGTGGCCCTAGAAGCGCGCTTTCAAGATCTACTGAAACATTTACTTAAGATATGGCTCTTGGACAGCCTTTATTCGGTCTGAAAACCAGTCAGGCATGGTTTCCAGGTCCCCAAACGCACTCTTGATGTGCTAATGAAATGCCAAACCCTTTGCAAGTCAAGTTTGTGACGAAGTTGTTGGAAAGCAGCTTGATGCGGTCTGAAACCCATGCCACCATGATTTAGACTTTCAAGGACTACTGAAACGTCAAACGACAGCGAACTAGTAGACCGGAGAAATTTGAAGAAAAGCGGGTTCTCAGCACTTGCCTTCAGTTGAGATGGCTTTGCATTCTGCCTGATTGCGGGAGTATCTGATAGGCAGGTGGATAAAAATAGGGCTCTCTACTCAGAAGGTCTTTGGTTCGACTCCCGCGGGGGTGCGTGTCTGGCAGGTTCCTGTTGCAGGGCTTCTTTTCAAATGTCTCTCAGGACCTTCCAAGGACGATGCTCTTGCTGTCCAAACAGCTTTATCACTTTTGAAAATTACAGAAACATGGCTTCCAGACAACAAAAGCATCCATGCTCGTGCGCCGACTCCTCACCGGTTAATCCAGCTTCCGCAAAGCTTCCTCGGGCCTTCCGCGCAGGCACTGCTTGTGAAACGGTCACCGAGACCTGTCTCTCTATATTGTTCAGCGCGCCCGTATTTTGGTGTGGGCGCAGTTTTCATGCCTTGACAAAATTCTCAGCAGTTTGAAATTAGGTTCCAATGTGATGAAAATTGCTCTCAACATATCGAACTGGACACAGGTAGAGAAGGACTGAAATTCAATGGCATTTCTGCGCCTCCAAAGGTCCCTTAAAACCTTTCTTCTGGCCCTTTGAAACCTTTTGGAAAGTCTGAGACGAGTTCATGGCGAAGGTGTTTGATGCCATTGCAGTTGCAACGGGTGACTTCATAGATACGAATCCAAGCGCTTTCCATGCACTGTGGCAGCATTGAGCCTTTTGAAGCTTCATTTCAACCAGCCCAAATGCTCTTCTGCAACATCTGAGCCTTCTAAATCGCTTGCATGGGAGTCTGCCCCCTTTCCAGACCCACGCGCTGAGAACCTTTACCATGAACGCGTTTCAAACTCTTCAAATTTGCACTAGATGGAATCAAACACAACGAGCCCGCCAAAGCTATTGCTCAATGCAATTCCGTGTTGTAAATTGTTTCTTTCTGGGTTACATGGCAAGGTTTTGAACCCCAATAACACACTGGTAAGCTGCCATCAGCCTCCCAAAATCTCGCTCCATGTGTGCAAGCAGGTGCTTCCGCGACTTCCGCGGCTATCGTTTTTCAAGATCTTCCGCGGCAGGCTTCCACAAGCTTCCGCGCGCCACCACAACGAAACTGAACGCCCCTAGTACTGGAAGACTTCCCACAAAACGCTCTCTGCTCAATTTGTTTGAGCAAGAAGGACGTACAGGGTCCTCAACATCAGGAACCTCCAAAAGAAACATAACAAATGCGTACTTGGTACTGCGGATGATGCCGAACCTTGGCAATCTCAAAGCCTCCAAACAGCTTCCTCTTCTTGGTGATTGGCCTGAGCGTCTTGCTATCTTGGGTGCAGGGTAGACTCGCGTTTTGCTGAACTTCGAACTTTATACCCTAGAATCCCAATATAACCCATTAAAGTAGTTTCAACTTTTTTCGTTCTCCCAATATTACCGTAATATTACCCCTATATAGCCCAATATAATACCCTCCAATTGTGGGCCCCAAAGTTGCCCATACCCACATGTTGGACTCAGGAGCAAACCCCAAGTCACCGCCGACTTTCGCGGAGATCTGGGCAACATCAAGCAACTTTAGCTATCCCAACGTAGAAGGATCAGCGTGTTGGGGTCCTAGTCAAGTCCCCCTACGCGAACTTCTTGAGTCCTAAGACGCAACAACACGTGACCCCCATGCGCACGTCGTCATCGCTCTCGGCTCGGGCATAGTTCTCGAACTTCTTCTGCAAGGCCTTCGTCTTCAGGGTACCATAGGCGCTCCGACAATTAGAACAGGCCTTTTGAAGCATGATCCTTGCATACTGGGACACCAATTCACAAAGGTAGAAGGTGCTTGGGGTCATGCGGGACGTTTTCTCATCAAACGTACTTGAAATTTACATGCTAAACGACTACATCACCATAATCCCTTCCGGTATCTCCAGCCTGTGCTCCACCTCCATAGGCCACATTCTCAAGCTTGTACTTGAGCGCCTTGAGCGACTCTTTGGCCTGGCATACTGGTTTTGTAACCCCACAAGTATTATGTAAAGGGTTCTGGGGGAGCGTCAGAAAGGGGGTTCCCCAAAATGGTTGTACCCCTTTACAGGCCCAAGTGATATGCGGTAGGGCGCCTTTTGAGCAAATCTCATATCGGGATTACCCAGTGGGTGTCTGCTGGTTCTCCAGTCAGGAAACCATCAGAAAAGGGTTTCAGTACCCTATGAGCCCATAGGCCGGCTAAAGTCAAAGGTTGCAGTCTGGCATTTGCTTGAGATTCAGCTCGTTGCACAGAGGCTTCATTATCTCAGGCCATTTGCCAAATGGCCCCCAGACCATTGATGATTGAGATCTGTTCTAATGATATCAGTGAGCTTAAGGTTTGCATGGCAACATCCCAGTCCATATCAATGCCAGCACAAGATCAAGGCCTCTTTCTTGCTCCAGGTGATCTGGGTTTGGCGCCAAGACTTTGCAGGCTTGCCGAAGAAGTCCCTGCAAAACAGCAACCAGCAAACAACAAGCAGGGGATCAAGGGGTATGATATAGGGATAATGGAAAATAAAATGGAAACTATTACTACATTATAATCGGGTTATATATACATACATCCAGCAGGGGAGAGGACTGCAGAAGGCACAGTGTTTTTTTCCGAAAGTGCTTCATGACCAGATCAGAAGGATGGCGCGATCAGAAGCAAATTTCCAAATGAAAGCCAGCCAGCTCGCGGCGCGGCCTCTATTCCGTAGAATATGTCCTCCCACCCGTATTCTGACACTAGTTGTTTGGTTTCCCAAAATAGGGGGGCCCATTGCAGACCCCAAAATACGATCGCCCTCTATACCTTCCTTTTGGCCCTAGACCCCTTAAACCATTCTAGCAGGCCTGTGCTTTTTGAGGATATGCCATACTCGCGCTTCGCCCTTTTGCACGGCCCGCTCTGGCAGCTTCTCGGCCTCATGATTCGAGGTGTAGTCTAAACTCCTTAAAAGGGGGGCGATGTGGGGATTATATAGGGAGTATTATGGGGCTTACTAAGCGGATCGTGGGAGTTTAGACTATGGCTCATTCAGTTTTCGGATTTTGGGGTCTGGACTTAGGGGTTGGCTGAGAATTGCTGGGTGTTTGGTTCCAGGTTTATGCATGCATCCTTGCGGACAGTCCTGAAGCATCCACTTGA